TGATCACAGAGAGATGAGCTTACCACCATTCGATTCGTCTCGATGAGGCGATTCCAACGAGCTATAAATCGTCTTTTTACAATCACTAGGTACCGAAAACTCTAGCAAAATGTTAAATGGCGCAGTAAACGTAAATCAAGAAATATTATAATGCTGATGTTTAATATTTTGTTGAATAACTCGTCAGCCAGTGATCGGAAAAGGATAAAACTACCACCATTCGATTCGTCTCAGTGAGACGATTCTAACAAGCTATGATACAACTTTGTACGATTATTAGATGCCAAGTTATTTAATATATTCTTTATATAACTGTGATTATAAACGGTTCTTTTTAATATAAGATTTTTGAGGATAGGTGTGATAGTGACTATAGATAGATTGTGACTATATAGGATAGATTTTAATAATAAAGTGTTTTGAACATTCAACTGGTGTGACTATATAGTAGAATGTGACTATAACGAGAGTGACTATAGAGAGAGTTGACTGTAATATTAAATATTAAATATATAATCAGATTAATATTAACCAGTTGAGGGATAATATTAACAGAGTGTGAGATTTAGCAATTTTGTAAAAATATATTTAATGTAAAAAAAAAAAAAGCAAAAGTATAAATAAAAATTTAAAAAGTTATTTATTAAATAGAATAAAATATATTAAATAATTTATTAAATAAAAATATCTATTAAAGATAAAATTATTTACAGTATATTTTTTACTTAATAATTTGCTATGATTTAAGGATTTAATATTTTGCCAATTTTTGCCAATTTTTTAATTCTCTAAATTCTCTATTTTTTTTGATCTTTTACATTTTTAGTGCAAACTTATTGTAACACTTTCAAAAGCCATATAGTATGCATATTTTTGCCTGCTTTACAATTTTACTTAATATATCAAGAAGGGTTTAGAATACTGTTTTTGACTTTATATGATATTTATTTTATAAGTATGATAAAAAACAAACCCCTAAATTTAAATATATTTATTATTAAAGAAAAAATTTTTTTTAATATATTAATTTTTTAGATTTTTCTGCTAATCTCTTTTCTAATTCCAAAAAGGCCTTCATTCCAGGATCAATATTATCATTTAATTGTGATTCAGAAGATTCTAAAAGAATATTAGGTAATGGTTTGCCCTCTTTTAATAATCTATTTTTAATATTATTAATTTTATTTTTCCATTCATCAAGTTCTTCTTGGTAAATATCTAAAATGCTAATATTTTAAATTATTAGAATTGTTACCTATTTCATATTTTATTTAAAACAAACTTTACCAATGTGCGCAGCCACTATTAAAAAAAATTATATTAAATTCCTTTTATTTATTTTATTTATTATTTATATAATTATTTTTAATACTTACCTCATACAACAATTATTAGGAAATTCAGGTTTATGAGGTATTACTTCTCCATCAATAGTATATATGGGCTCTTGAACATTAGGTACAGTTCCAATAGCTAAACTGGCTATATCTCCGATTTGTTCAGTTTGTTCATGTGATCCTGATTTGGGCTTTAATTAAGGATTTTTTTTTAATTTTTTAAATTATTTAAATGCAATTAAATACAATTGATTATCGCACCTGTTCTAATATTAAATTCCAATATCCATCGAATTTATTTTTCTTACTCTGCTTATAATTTCTAAGCTGCTTATATTGTCGAAATCCAATAAAGCTAATTTTGGAAGTTGACCGTTTAATTGTACCAAACATTTTTTTTTTTTTAAAAAAAAAAAATTTTAATTTTGTGTTAACATGGATTATATACAAATCCAAATGCTTGATTACTAATCACAATTTTACGATGAAAATCTTGAATTATCGGTACTTACCATTGAATAGTTTTTGAATTGTTTTAAATAGTTACAACATTTATTTATAATGAAATTACATTCAATTTATACATAGTAATCCAATACATAGTAATCCAATTGTTAAACTTCGAAATAACACTCAAAGACATTAAAGATTAATAAATAACGAAAATAGAAGTTAATTGTTATAATAGTGATATTATACTTATATAATTATGATGACTATATTAACATGCTTTTTCTTTTTTTTTCTTGTATGCCTTATTTTTTTTCATCGAACCTCTTGCATATTTGCATATACAGTACAAACCTGTAATACAACTTTTTTTTTAATTCTACATGTTTTTTTTTTCAGATTCTTTTTTTCTTTTTTACAACTAATTACATGTTTTTTATCCTCTTTTAATATATAAATGTTAAAAATAAGGTAGTCAAAAAAAAAGAAGATATAAAGGGTTAAAGGGGGGATGAAACCTAAGCCAGTATAATGAAAGATAAAGTTATAGTGAGGTGTAGGGAGGGGAAACTATCTATGTGGTAAAGGTAAAATCAAATATAATAAAATAACTACATACTATTTCAGTATAGAAATTGTTACAGTGTTTGCTAAATTATGTAAATAAAATCATTAGATTCTTACTTAAAAAAAAGTTCGTAGCAATATTTCTAATTAATAAAATACCTGTAAAAACTGACGGAAAAAATTCTTTCGAAAAAGAAAAACTATACCTCAAAGTGCGTATCGTTCAAGGAGTCTTTGCCTTATATGAGGTGGGAAATTACTTGTATATGCTTCCCAGTTTGGGCCCATCATTTGTTTAAAGCCGGTCAGAATCTTCAAGCAAAATTAGTGCACATTAATTAATTATTTAAATAATAAGTAATTAAAAAATTATATCGTAAATAATATTTAAAAGTTGAAATGTCTTACCTTACGGAATATTTCATTTAGCTCTGGGGGTGGGTGCTGCCATTGCACAACAGCATCACAGAAATACAGAAAACTCTATAATATCATAAGTGAAAAAAACAAATTATATTAAAAAATAATTTTTCTCAACATTTAATAAGATTGCTCAAGATAATTTTACCTTTGCGATGCCATTCGGGTTAACCTGAATCATTTCACATAAACCACGAAAAGCAGTATCTTTTTCATCGTTATCTCGAATTCCTCGTAAGGCTTTGCACCTGTCATAAAGAATATAAATATATTAAGGATAAATAAATTTAACAAACAATGTATCAATGTATCGAATATGTTTTTAAACATTACCAGGCTTCGGAGAAAACATCTAAATGTGGAGCGACCAATTGTGGGCAAACTAGTCCTAATCTACCGATGGTAATTCCTGCGTTTTCCAAAAGTGTTCGAGGAGTTGTTTCACTGGTTAAAAGTTGGATCAAACGATCCAACAAAGGAGGAATCCAAGGTTGCATGTCAGCACCTGACAATTATTTAATTGTTCATTAATTATAAATTATTAATATCAAGAATAAATACTTTACTACTACTTACCACATTGCAAAGCAATTTCACCAGCTGCCCATGCAGCGTTGTTGCAAACACTAACATGTTCAGCTCTTGGATCAACCTGGTTAATTAATTCAACCATGAATTGGTTAAGGTAAGGTCTAATGTGTGAAAAGCAAGCGATAGAAAGATCGCCCAGAAGAGCATAGGCCGATTGTCGAACTTCAGCTACAGGATCCTATATTAATGATAATGATATTATCATTTATTAATAAAATAAACAATAATAAATTAACAACAACTATCATTTAATACGTACTCTTAAACAAATACTCAACAAGGGCAATAATTGAGGTTGAGAATTTGCTACAAATTTTTCAACCTCAGGACCCAATCCTTGTGTTAAGCCGCTCAATAAATCTAGAGCAACAATCATAAAATCCTTATCAGGCATGTCCAAAGAGGGATTATTTTGATGCATGTCATATTGTAATAAAGTGTTGTGGATCAGTTTAACACAACGCTCAAATACTGGAGGTGCGTATGGCAAGAAACCTAAACCAAGAGCTGTCGTGACAGATGACAAACACTATATTTATAAATTATAAGTATTAGTTAAAAATGATTAGAATGAAACGAATTGTGAAGTAATATAAAGTTCTTCGCATACCTCGAGCAATGGAAATAAATCCCTATCATCATCTTTTAATAAATGCCATTTTTCAATAAGTGGCGCCATTAATATCTCGATGTATTCTTTCTTATTAAGTGCTGAGCTGACCGAATCGGCAAGAGTACCAATAGCATCATATAGAATAAGTAAATTCTTGTGTTGATATTTAGAGAAAGCATATACAAGATTTCGAAGAATAGGATCTAGAAATGGTATAAGAAGTTCACAAGCTTCTTCTTCAAGAGTAGCGAATGCGCTACAAGCGGCTTCTTGTACACGTTTATTGTTATCAAGAACTTTACGCAAGAGCTTTTATAAATAAAGGCACAATTTAAACTTTCTCCTTTAAATCTTAATCTATATTGGAAAAAAGAACATTAACAAACAATTACGAAAAATAAACTTACCCCCTCCAATAAAGGAACAAAATACTTTTGCCTATCTTGTGGTGGGTTAGGAGGATGGACACACCATCGAGAATAACGACCTAATGTCCAACATGTAATTGAACGAACAAGGGGCTATGTATTTATAAAGAGAATTGGATAAGTTACGTCGGTAATAATTTATAAAATTGAAAGTTTACTTTATCTACCTTTGGATCGTCAAGTGTCTGAATAAGATATGGGACCAAATTTTGTAAATGTGGTTCTACTCCTTCCATGCAACCTTTCAAAAATTTTATGTAATTAAATTTTTTATATAAAGATAAAAATATATATATAATATAAAAATCATTGATCTACCTTCCGATACAGCACCAAGTGCTAAAATACCGCATTCCCGATGTTTCCATTCTTGATGGAATAATTGTTCTCTTAGGAAAGGCAACAAAATTTCTAATAGTTCGTTACCAAAAACAGTTGCAAGCACATCTAATGCAGCTGCCGAACATTTTCTCAGATTCCATTCAGAATAAATATCGTCATCATCCAAATCCTCATCATCTTCTTCCTCCTCCTCTTCCTCACGATTAACATTTGCTGTTGAATCTCCATCACTACCACCAGCACCACCATTAGACTCCGTGCGTTCAAAAGTATGAGTCTTAGCTCTGTGAAAACGAGGTTTAATATCTTGTTCACTATCTGGAACATTAGTATCATCCTCATCTCCCCCAAGGGTTAAAATGTCCATCTCACTATATACCATACATTTTAATAAGACAGGTACAATTCTTGGTAGGAAAGGGCGTAAATGCTCTCGAAGATCTTCTTGTTCAGCAAATGCCAACCAAAATTCACATGCCTCAAGAGCAACTTGTTCATCTTGATCTTGAGTAGAAAACAACATATATTCCACAACATTTGCAATTTCGGGCAAAAGTTTATCTGGTCTTACTTCAAGCAACATTACCAGGGCCTGACATACATTTTTACGGACGTCAGGACTTTCGTCACTGGCTCGTTTAAAAAGAGCCGCCACAAATGCATCAATATGAATGAACAAAGAGTTCGATCTCATAAGAATAAATTGATTTATACAGGATACTGCATATACACGAATTTTAACATGTTGAGAATCGAAGAACGTAATTATCTTTGGGATCATATAATTTAGAGGTCGTGTGCCTTCAATATCTTGGTCAAGTTCACGAGAAGAATCTTCACAAATCTTTTGTAAAGCGCCGAAAGCTCCCTAAATGATTCAAATTAATATATTTAAATTTAATAAAGCACTTTGTAATTAATAGAATAAAAAAAAATACACTAACCTCTACAACATTATAATCTTGAGAATCCAATAACTCCATTAAAGCAGGTAAAACCTGTGGCCAATCTGCTAACCCTCCTCTTGTAACAATTGTAGTAATCACATTTCCAATAATACCTCGTACCATAACATCCTGATCGCCTAACCCTTTAATTGACAAAGCCTTTACATATGCGAGCACATCACGTTGAATTGTTGCGAAATATACACGGATAGTGTTTTTTAAAAGAAGGCCCGCAATCGCACGAGTGGATGGTTCTTCTTGTGGCATTTGGGTGAGAATGTATACAAGATAGTTGGGGTAATCAGGTATTTTATTAAATGAGTCCAATTTCTATAAAATGATATCAAAGTAAAAGATATTTGTTAAAGATTATAAAATTGGGAAGGTAAAAATAATTATCAAATAGAGGTTAAAAAAGATGGCTAAATCATAAAAAATTGACAAAATTTTTCACTTAAATAGTTTGTAAAATTCTTTTATTGCAAGATGGAAAAAGTCTATTTAATAGACCATCAAGTTATAGCTGACATATAGTAAATTAAAAATAAAAAAAGATCTAACACGCGCCAAAATCAAAGTAACCACTAGCTGAAAACTAATAGTAACATAAGGGAATATAACTGAAAATTGCTACGACTTTAGCGCGTCGTCAATTTTAGTTTAGCGAAGTATAATGCATCAAGATCCGATAAAAATGAAAGGATACCTGTTGAATCATGCTATGAATTTCATTATTAGTGGATACTGAATCTTTAAGCAGCTGCAAAAGCTGTGAAAGTCCCTCTGGTGTTGGTGCCCACTCCATGATGCTTTTCAATATAATCTGTTGATGAAAAAAATTATAACGTTACTATGAGGCAAGTTTAAGTTGGATTCTTAAAGAGCTCAACATGCAAAATTGGGAAGAGCACGTGCCTATGCTTAAATATTCCGTAAAGAAACAATTTTTTTACTTTGAGTTTGGCAAGTTTCACTGCAGTTTATTCTTAAAGCCTGTTAGCTTTTAACAAAAAGGAAAGAGTTGCTTTAGTAAAAAGAACTTATGAAGGCTTGTTGAACAGAGTACAGTCAATAATTGGCTGGTTTTATAATCGATGATACGTCATATTTGAACTTTTCTTTCGCGTTTTACTTTTCACTCATTAAATGATTTGTTTTGTTTATCATTTTTCTTTATATAATAAAAATATTTTCACTAAAATTTGTAATTTCTTGTCAATTTATTTGTTACTTCTAAAAATGTAAAGAAACCCATGGAAAGAAAGTATAGATAGAAGAATAATGTACATTTATATTTAAAATAAATTATATAAATTTTTTTTGTTTTAACTATATCGTTTAATAATCGCATCGACCATCTTTAGGACCATCTTTCCATCTCTCATCAATTTTATTACAATCAAAAATTGGTTTACCCAAACGTTCATTAACAATATTATGCATATCACATAACCATTTACCCAACGACCTTTTACTTTCAACCTTAGGTGGCATTTTAGTCATTTCATCACGTAGATGTTCAGCACAATACCAACAAGGGTAAAATTGAGAAAAAGTATCTAAAAATTTACGCATATTTCTTTGTTGTTTATAAGAAGGTACTTCAGGATAATAAGCAGCCATTGTATGTAAGAATGTCCATGTGGCTTTTCCTAATTGTTCTGAATCTGGTGGACAACCCTCAGGTAATTCTTGCGAAGAATTGCTTTTAAATTCAGTTACTTCCATATTATTATTTATGTTGTCTGTATTATGTGATGTTTGTTGCTTCTTTTTTCCTCGCTTTGTCCAATCCTTGAATGCAGTACAAGCTCTACACGGTTTTCCATCTTTATCCAATATAATTCCAGTCGTTTTACTGTCACCTGAAGTTGTAGATTTCTGATCATTATACTGCGGTGATTCAGTAAAAGATGGTTCCGTTGTTTTTTTACCGTTTGACTGTAAGTTAGAAATGTCTTCGTTTTGTAAAGGAAGTAATTCCGTCATAATAAAATAAAATTCAAAGGTAGAATTTCGATCTATTCTCCCTATATATGTAGAGATTTTGAGCCACACTATGACAGTTCGATACTAAATAAGGAGACGCGTCAATAAACGCTTTAGCCTAATTTAGCGATATGACTCCCATTTTTGAGGAACCAATTAGGAAGTTCTGTTCAACTATCTTTTTGGAATTGACCAATACTTAGAAAAAAAACAACATTCGACAACCCATTTTACTTTTTTTTCTCTCTTTAATTCAGGGAGATTACTTTTTTCATAGTAGAGGATAATTTTTTAGAATAAACATTTCTGAATATTTTCCCATAAAAATAGGAATATCGTCTTGAGTAATAAGAGTTGATGGTATTGAAACAAGAGAAAACATAACATTAATGGATGTTTGTATTAATTATCTAATGATGATATGATGATATGATGCTAGACTTTAGATCTTTCTAAATTTTTCTTGTTAGTCAACAGCTCATTTGTGCATATAAAAAATGATCTGACCATCACGTACATCATGATTCACATGATTAGCAGATCACGAATTATAAGAGCAAACTTTTTATTGGTTCAAGATAATCATTTTGATAAAAAAAAAATTTTTTTTCTTAAATCACATGTGTATAATATGCTACGTACGCAAGAAGAACAATGAAAGTGTCCTTCAAAACAAAGATAAATTGTTGCGTATTCGCGCATATTGAGTAACAGTCGTGCAACCTTTTTTTTTTTTTAAAAAAATACTATTATGATTGCTTGTTTCGTATTACACTATTACCATATTAAACATCACATGAAGCATTGAATAAAAGAATTTGGTTGATTACCCATTCATACAATTTTTTTTTTTTTTTTTTGATTCATTATTTTAAATACATTTGTTATTTGGACGGATATTATGGCAGACGGAGAAAACCCATCTGTTACGCGTTTTAGAGAATATTTACGCATAAAAACAGTTCAACCTAATCCAGACTATGAGTCTTGTAAAAAATGGCTTTTAAATCAAGCAAAAGATATAGGTTTAACTTCGCAAGTTTTTGAGGTATTTAACCTACTTTTTATATATTTATTTACTTAGAAAATTAACTTGGTTTTTATTTCGTCAGTATGTTAAGGGAAAACCAATAATTTTGCTAACTTGGACTGGTCGTGACCCAGAATTACCTGCTATACTTTTGAACTCTCATACTGACGTAGTGCCAGTATTTGAGGTATTCATCAATTAACGTTTAATCGATTTAATATTATTTTATCATTCTAAGATTTATTTATTTAGGATAAATGGTCATGTGATCCATTTGAAGCTTATAAACGTGAAAATGGTGACATTATTGCAAGGGGAGCACAAGATATGAAATGTGTCGGAACAAGCTACCTCGAAGCTATTAGGTGTCTTAAGGATCAAGATAAACAGCCATGTCGAACAATTCACCTTTCTTATGTTCCTGGTAATTATATATTTTTATATTTATTAAAATTATTCTTTCTAGATTTACAATTAATACTAATTTCTAAAATTTTAAGATGAGGAAATTGGAGGTCATGATGGAATGAAACTCTTTGTTAAATCAGAAGATTTTAAAAAGCTAAATATTGGATTTGCATTAGATGAAGGAATCGCATGTCCTCATAATGCTTTAAAAGTATTTTATGGAGAGAGAACTACATGGTGGATTGATGTTATAACGAGAGGTAACACGGGTCATGGTTCACAGTTTATTAATGATACTGCCGTATCCAAATTGGTAAATAAAATGATTTATTATTTCTTAAAAAATTAATAAAGTTTTAACTAAAGAAAACTTGTACTTTTTTTTGAATACTATAGCATCGAATCATCAATAAACTTTTGAGTTTCCGTGAATCTCAAGAAATGCAATTAGAAATAGGAAGAGACAGAAGTGGAAGAAAATATACACTTGGAAATGTGACAAGTATCAATCTTACCATATTACAAGTATGTATAAATAATATTTTAATTTTAAACCTACCGAATCTAACCATATTGCTATATTAGGCTGGTGCTCAATATAATATAATTCCACAAGAGGCAAAGGCTGGATTTGATATTCGTATATCACCAGATGTTAATTTGAAAGATTTTAAAGAATTATTAGAAAAACTTATTAAATCTGAATCCGAGTGAGTAACAAATTTAACTTTTTATAATCTATCTAATCTAATCTTATTGAATTTAAAATCATATCCTTTTTTATATAGTACTACATTAGAATACGTTCATTATCATGGTGATAATAGTTGTACTCCGCTTGATGATAGTAATGTTTGGTGGGTTACATTCCGCGATTTTTGTGATGTGAGGTTGGTAATTAAAAAGTAAAAGTCTTCTTTATAATTTGGAAATACTTAATATTTGCTAATTTAAATATTTAAAATTATATAGAAATATTTCTATTGAACCAGAAATCTTCCCTGCTGCTACCGATTCACGTTATCTTCGTGAATTTGGTATTCCAGCTTTGGGAGTATCTTATATTAAAAATACTCCTGTATTATTACATGACCATGATGAACGTATAAATGAAAATCTGTTTCTGGAAGGTATTGAATTTTATACCGACTTAATTACTCATTTGGCAAATATTCAAACTATTTAATTAAAATTATTATATAAATAAATTTGTATAAAGTTTTTGTTTAATGATTCTTTTTATGAAACAAAATTCATAATTGTGTGAAAATTCTATTCGTCACTCATTATCTGTCACATGTGCGTCACATTTTTGCAAAGATATGTGTAACATCTTTTTATAATTAACGCGGCATTTTTTTTGTGAAATTTAAATATGGAAGAAGTTCCGATTACCCTTACTCTTGATAGTTCTCTCAGATTCCCAGAATGTGAAATAGATAGTGAAACATTTGAGCACATTTCTGAAAATAAACCTTCAAGTGTATCGCTTTTGCAAGAAGAATCTCAAAGTGATAAATATATGCTACACTCTGAGCTCAATCCAAATGACATTATACAAGACATTCCCATTTATTTATCACAACAACTTGCCAATCAACTTTACATCATACAATATCCTGTTAGACCACGTACAAACCCTTATGTCGGTAACAATGCACCCCGTGAAGCACGTTTCAAACAGCATTCACAAAAGCTTGAACTTGACATTCCATTACAAACAAATTCGCAATGGTACAATCGTGATAGAGGAGAGGAACTTGTTTTGGGTCTTAATGATAAAGAAGCTCGGACAATTTATGATCGATCATGGAGACGTGATAGAAATGATGGATTGTTAGACAAACAGACTTTGCAGTCAACTATTGTACCACCTCAAGCGAATTATTGGATGGGTGTAATCAAGGATGGTAGGTAATATCCACTTTTTAATTTTATATTTTTAGTCAATTTATAATAGTTTGTTTATTTCTTTTGTGATTTCAGGTGGACTTCACATGACTCCAGTTCACACAACCCTGCAACTACGACCAGGACTAAAATATCTTGATAAAATTGATGAAAAATTAAAGAATGCTAGTAAAAAAGCACAAGCTATGGAAGAGGAAGAACTTGTTAGTGATTTAAAAAGTGTTAAATTAAACAAAGAAGATCCTGGAGTAGGTTCAAGTAAAGGAAAAGGCTCCGGAAGGGGAAGGCCTTCTCCGGTATTTAAACATTTGTTTATATAAATTTGTTTTTTTTGCCAACAATAAATGCAATATCAATTCTTTTCTCATTAAGGGTTTTACGAGTGAAGATAAAATCACAGATAAGTCTTCACTTAAAAAAAATACTCGCCCGACTTCTTCGCGTATGATGGAAGAAGAAAAATGGAAGAAAATGAAATATTTTGATGCGGATGTAAGGAAAAATCTTAGATAACTCTTGTACATATCATTTTAATATGTATTTTTTAAATTAATTTGTTTGTTTATTTAGTCTACGGAGACAGAAGATATTCTTATTAAGATGCACACTTTACAAACTGATCTCTTAGAATGTAAGACTAAGGATATTAATGATTATATTGATGCCATCAGCACTTTCCCCAAGACAATTGATGAACCATTGTCAAATATTGAAGAAGGTCAACAATCTGAAATAAGTACATTACTTAGTCCTTTGAGGCCAGAAATAAATCAGACACATCCACTTTTTATTCCCCCAACTCCTGGTGTAATAAATTCTTCAGTAACTAAACCTTCATCTAATCTTTCTACAAGATCAATTTCTTCTAGATCAAGAGGTTCAAATATTCCCAGCAAATCTGGAAAAGCAAGTACACTTCGTTCTAGTAGGGGAACAAGAGGGAAAAGAGGCCAAAATCCACGTGCTAAAAATTCTTAATATTATTAAACAGGAATGACATCTAATTTTTATTAACTAGTTATAATATATTTGTTACAAAATAAAATGTTTCTAAATTTATTTTAATACTTTATAGACCTAATTATAAATTAATATTAATTACTGATCCGTCTGAAATTTAACATTTGCAGTCAATTGGCAATAAATACACAAACATATAATTATTTATATTTTATAAAAATCATACCATATATGTAAAAAAAATCCCCAAGAAAAAAAAATACACAAAAAAACTGTATATTTATCATTATTATAAAAAAGGAGCAAAATTGAAATTATTAAAATCTATTTATATCTCATAAAATAAATAATACATATGCAGAAGATTATAATAAAATATTATAATTGTGTATAAAAATTATTAGTTATAATAATAAAGTATAAAAAAAAAAGTTTAATTAAATTATTATTGTATGAACTGCTTAATAATGATCTAATGTTTATACTTAATTATTGCTTAATTAAAATTTTATATTTAATTTAGTAGTATTTTCTAATACTAACTGAATATATAGATAAAGTACATTAAACTGTATATTTTTAATGTTTTTATTTGCAAAAATGTGTTAATAATTTTTTACAATTTTTTAATTTTATATTTTTGATTAAATGGAAAACTCTTTTTGGTAGATCTCTGATCTATAATTTCATATGGAAAACAGAAGCAGTTTTTTGCAAGCCTTAAGACAAATTATTGATACCAATATAAAATACAATATCTTTTTAAAGAGCTTACCACCATACACAAATAAAAATGTTTACAGAACAGGATAAAAAAGTCTTTATAAGTTTTATTAAGACATAAGCGTTTAAACTTTTCTTCTTATTTTTAATAATGAACTTTATGTAGTAATATACTTTGCAAATAAGATCCACTTCAAGTAATGTAAATAATAAAACCAATATTTATGCTACTTTTTTGATATTTTTCATTAATAAAGCTATAGAAACTTTTTTTGAGGCTTATAATAATTTTATAGATCAATTTGCTAAAACTTTTCACAAACTGCCAAAATAATAAAAACAGCCAATAGATGGTATAATTGGGATAAACTTTATATTCATTGGAAAATTTTTTAAAATACAGAATTGCAAAGATTTGTAAAATTACTTTTTTTTGTGAATTTAATGGCCCACCATAAGTACAAAAATAAATATACAAAAGTTATTATCTAATATACAAAAGTAATTATTTGAATATACAAAAGTTAACATTTAAATATACAAAAGTTATTATTTGAATATACAAAAGTTGTTATTGAATATATAAAAATTAACATTTAAATATACAAAAGTTATTATTTGAATATACAAAAGTTGTTATTGAATATATAAAAGTTATCATTTAAATATACAAAATTCAATATGCTATCAATTTGGTCAAATCTAAAATTAAAAAAAAATTACTGCTTAATTTATATATTCAAATAATAACTTTTGTATATTTAAATGTTAACTTTCATATATTCATATATCAACTTTTATATATTCAAATATTGTCTTTTATATATTTGAATATTAACTTTATATTGTTTATTCAAATGATAATTTTTGTATATTTAAATAACCACTTTTATATATTCAAATAACTACTTTTATACAAGTGAATATATTAAAATGATTATTTGAATATACAAAAGTTAATATCTGAATATACATTTTAGTATATTCAAATGATAATTTTTGTATATACTGTTTGTGCTTACAGTAAGCCATAAAAATCTGTAATTTTGCAGATTTTTGCTTTTTATTTTTTATAGAATTATGCAATAATCTGCAATTTTACATGTTTCTAATTTTTTATGTACAGTTAACTCCCTCTATAATCACTCCCATTATAGTTATATTCTACTACATAGCCACACCAGTTAAATGTTCAAAACACTTTATTATTAAAATCTATCCTATATAGTCACAATATATTTATAGACACTATTACACCTATCCTCAAAAATCTTATATTAAAAAGAACCGTTTATAATTACAGTTATATAAAGAATATATTAAATAACTTGGCATCTAATAATTGTACAAAGGTGTACTATAACTTGTTAGAATCGTCTCACTGAGACGAATTGAATAGTAGTGGTTTTATTCTTTTACTTTGTTAGTAGTTTACGGCTAGACTTCCCTCTAAGGATGGGTCTGCAAATGATTTTCAAATTCCACAATATTGTGGATTTTGAAATTGAATTGTAGTTAGTAATCCGCAATTTCACAATTCTAATTAGCTGTCTATAACTGTCAGTTTTGCCATTTTTATATATATAAAAAACACCAGAATTAATAGTTCTGGAGTTTTTTTATATAAAAATATCAGAACTATTGCTTCTAGCATATTTTTTTATAAAAACGTTAGAACTGTAGGTTTAGTTCTGGTATTTTCTTTTAATTTTTTTATATAAAAACGCTAAAACTATGAGTTCTGGCGTTTTCTTTTAATTTTTTTTATATAAAAATGTCAGAATCATAGGTTTTAGCATTTTCTTTTAATTTTTTTATATAAAAACGTCAGAATCATAGGTTTTAGCATTTTCTTTTAATTTTTTTTATATAAAAAATACTGGAACTATAATTCTGGCATTTTCTTTTAATTTTATTTTATATAAAAACACCAGAACTATATCTTAGCATTTTCTTTTAATTTTTTTTATATAAAAATACCAGAACTATAGATTCTGGCATTTTTTTAATTTTTTTATATAAAAATGCTAGAACTATAAGTTCTGGCATTTTTTTAAATTTTTTTATATAAAAATGCCAGATCTATGGGTTCTGGCATTTTTTTTAATTATTTTTTATATAAAATGCCAGAATAATAAAGACCCCAGAAAATGCTTATATATGTAAAGTACCAAAGTGCTTAGCTAATATAGAAAAATTTTATAATGTAAGAATTTTATAATACTTAATTTTGAAAAAATTTTATACTATGTAAGATAATTAAATTGCATATTTTTGGTATTATTTTAAAATACTAAGAGTTTTTAGTTGCTTATTTTTCATATTTATAGAACTTTTTAAAATATTATATATTGAATTTATAATTAATTTTGGGTATTGCTAAATATCACCAGTAGTGATTGTCATTACATGTAAAATATTTTTTGAATTTTCAAAAATTTTTGACTGTGACATTATTCTAATTATAATATAAATATCATTACTATATATAAATTTATGGGTAGAATAAGTTTGCCTTAGATTATAAAGGCTGTTGTTTAAATAGTTTTTAAGAAAAATAGGAAAGTTTGATTTTATAAGCAAAATATAATTTTTTTTTAAAAAAAGATTTTTTTTAGTCAAATTTTCAAAATTTTAGTGTGATTAGTATCTACTCAGGTTTGTTTTACACATTTATTATTTAAATTGAAATTTTTGAAAAAAAAATTATGATGTGTTTTTTAACTCTAGCCAAAATTATAATTTTCGGTCAGAATTAAGTGATGTGGTGACGATCACCACTGGTGATATTTAGCAATACCCATTAATTTTTATTTTATTTTCACTAATGGTAAGTGTTAATTTTGTACTACATTTTACAATTTTATATAAATACATAAACAAAAATTTTTTTTGATGAAATTATAAAATTACTGTAAATATGTTTTACTTTAAAATATAATTTCACTACTCACCACTTTGGTTATATCAAATTATCTTTTATGCTTAAGTAAGGTTGTTCAGCAAGTTAAATCTACTTGTATTTCAATTTTCATAAGGCTAAGTATGATATTTATATAAAAAAGCATATTTTTTATAATGGTACTAACTTCTGAATTTTTCATTTTTTTATTTACAACTTTAGAGCGTAATTACGCCACTTTGGTCAAATGAAATCGACTTTCTAAATTAATTGAAAGTTGTTCGGCAAGGTCAAAACTACTTATATATTAATTTTCATGAGTGTGAATATAATACTTATGGAAAAAATGCATTTTTTATAACAGTACTAACTTGAATTTTTTATTTTTTCATTTACAACTTTAGAGCATAATTACACCTCTTTTGTCAAATGAAATCGACTTTCTAAATTAATTGAAAATTGTTCAGCAAGGTTAAAACTACCTACATATTAATTTTATGGGTGCAAGTATAATACTTATAGAAAAATTTACATTTTTTGTAATAGTATTAATTTTGAATTTTTTTTTACTGTTTATTAACTTTAGAGCTTTTAACGGTTCCAGTTTAAACCAGAAACTGATCCAAAACTGGCCAAAAATTTGGTTCAGTTCTCAGTTCAGTTTTGGAATCAGAACTGTTCAGTTCAGTTTGATTCTATTTTATTTTAAGAAAAAATGCAAAAATCAAAATAACTCAGCAACCAGTGATTGTATAAAGATATGCAATAGCTCATTAGAATTGACTCATCAGGACGCGTCGAATGGTGGTAAGAACATCTCTCTAGCCTTGATGAGTGCTACAGAGATGAGTGGTGTAGGATTAAGTAAGGTTGCAGGCTAAACTGGTTTTTGAATTTGGCAAAACGTCTAAACCTCAGTTTCGTCAATTTTTTTATAAGAGTTTATTATAGTTTTGTCATTTCACACACGTCAAATGACCAAAAACAGGCAAAAAAAATGGCTAGAATTGCATAAACTATTCGCAAATTTATATAAACTATTTACAAATAGTATAGGTTAATTCGCAAATAGCCAAAAATAGCCAAAAATAGCTAAGAATAGCCACTGCTTTTCGTGCCATTTTTTTTGCCGATTTTTAGCATTTCAACCTGTGTCATATGATTTTTATAGTCAAGTTTCGCCAAATTTTTATTAATATTTTAATATAGTTTTGTCAAGTTTTACGTTTACTATGGGGTTTCGCCTGCAACTTTAGGTCAAGGAGATGTATAGTGTATGGTCTCCTATATAACAGTTTACATAGGTGATAAATAATATGACGGGTTAAACACGTGATTTGGAGTGAGTCAAAATGCTATTAATCACCTGTGTATGGTTCACACCCCTTATTTTACACACTGTTACATACTGCTAAATATCACCATACACCATACAGGTGGTCGACCCTACACCACTGGTATTCGTCTTACCAAGCCTTAATATATCATGAGATAATCAACACTAAACATTTTTTATAAAACTAGCAATAGAATCATATATTGATTCTAGAGAAATGATTTTGGCATCATTTGATAGGTCTTAATGTAATGAGACGAATCTAATGAGCCTTTTTTCATTTTT